TGTTGACACTACCAAACTCGGTCTCTCTGACATTTTCACCTGGAAGGCGTCATTGTGAGCGGTTTTATTTCCCAACTGAAAAACGCCCTTCTATCCACACATTTGACAAGAGCCGGTTCTGAAGTAATGTAGACATAAAAGTAGTGCATGAAAAGTACTACTACGATTTGAAAAGGACTCGACTCTTTGAAAGACTCCCAATCTTCTTAATCCTGCAGCACCATACTGGAAGAGCTTTAATCCGACTTGGAGTGAATTGGTCACTAATTTACCGACACTACCTTTGAGTTGACCACTGAGGAAGGTTTCTCAGCTCCAAACCATTTGCATTTGCTAATTGCACAATTAAGTTTGGGATCTGTTGTCTACTCTTTGCAATTGGAAATGCTGCAATCGACGTAATAAGGCGTACCGATACGAATGAAGGTTGGTAAATGTTGTACACAAACTTCGAGGAATAGTAAGGCAGAAAAAAAATGGTAGGGCAAGTTCGTTTCCTTCCGCACGACGTAATATTGCCGCGGACAGTAGCACCAGAGCCTGCATTTCTGAGTGCCGATGTTTTCACATCAGTGGTGAGGCGTTTTGCTTTCATTGCGGGACCCACGCGTCGACAATTTTGCCTTCAGTGGTCGTCTTAAGGGGATTTCGCTCATCACTACCAACCGCGCCCTAAGGAAAATGATTTGGCCAACAATTTTAAAGCAAGGAAGAAAGGACGAAATGCACTGCCTAAGGGGACGCTTAACGCATTTTATGGGCATAAAGAAGATTCTGTCAGCACAGAAAATGAAACAAGACTTAGCTATACCCAGAGCTCCATCTTCCTTCTCCTGCCTTCCCTTAGTGCCAGTGCTCTGACACCAACCACGAGGTGATGTTGTGAAATGTATGGAAAAATCGCAATGATGTGAGATTGCCTTTCCAAAGTCACGAATGCTTGTGCTTTTGTAAAAAAAACAACGCTTTTACCATTCTCTTCGCAGTTCAATAATTTTATTTATTCGCTGCATACTTTGCATTTGCTTCCCTCAACGCTGTTACATTTGCCTTCACTTTAATCCAGCCATTCCAAGCACAGCATTGTGAGGTGGTGTAACGTTTAAGGTGTCTTTCCTTCCAAAGGCGTACTGCGCATGCAGTAGAATCGTTTCGTGTTTGCAGGCACTGGAGACGGTGTGTAGGGTGAAACTCAAATCTCACAAGCGCCATACCTCCGAATCCCCTCCTCATCTGCCCACTGCCATGTTCACCACGAAACATTGGCGTCTATCACCTTGAGGATTCCTTTAAGCACAATTTTACGCCTCTAACCTAATGGTTTGTCCAACTTTTTTTAAATTTCTGATTTTCTTTTTTTTTGTAATTATCAGAAGAGGTGTGAAGATCTTCTATTGAGGATCTAAAATTCGGTTGCATGGAAACAGGTGACAACTTTGATCATATTTGTATGGTGTGTAAGAAAATGTCCACTCATTCTTCATTCTTCAAAAGCAGCACTCGCGTGGGAGAAACCAACTTTGGTAGCTGCGCCTCCGTCAGTCATTGTCGGAAATGATGCGCGGTGTTCTGTCTTTTGCATCGCATCACCAACCTCGCGTTATCAAGGAGCCTGTTGTCAGTGTTATATCGAAAATGTCTGATGAGTTGCAAAGCTTCGAGCTCCAAGAATTCATGTTCATTGTGAGTGTTGGACTCGCACAAGCTCATGCCAATAAAAGTGAAATTATTAGCTTCCAAAAGACCTTATTAGAAAAAAATAATTGCTCATGATGAAGCACCTGAAAGCACCCCATCCATCATAGTTGACGACGCAACAAAGGCAGCTGTTTGCCACCTACACAACGTGCGATTAGATTGACGTTCCTCCCTTCTCTGAACAGTATGCTGTTGTAATGGCTTCCGGCGCGCCCTGACTTCCATGTAGTAAAGCTAAATTTGTTGATATACTTTTTAGTACCAATTTTTATACTTTTTGCTCATTTACTATTCCATTCCCGAGGTCCTCAATCGCTCTCGGCAATAAAAACAATGAAAACTTCACTTTCCAACGCCTAAGAGGTTGCCACTGTGATCACTTGTTCATGGCAGCTGAATAAAGACGAGCAGCACTTGCAACTTCTTCGTGAAATTAGGAATCCTATGACCAATTCTTCTCCAAAATTTGTCCCTAAGAAGGGAAAGGTGTTAACTCGGCCTCCTTTGTAGCAACCTCACAGGGAGCATCATCGTCCTTACTAGGCACTGACACAGCCTTGTGTTGATTACTCGAAAGCATGGATGGCGTTGCTTTCCAGGACTCTAGCTTAAAGGGAAAGGGCTGTATGCAATGGCGCCTCCGGTGAGCCTTTGATTCCATCCCGTGACAAATGACCTTTCGGCAATCATCCACTCCACCCTTGTTAATAACGAAAACCTTTTTTGACTCCACTGCCACACCCGTTGTGGAAGTGTCTGAAATACATGGAAATTTAATGGTGTATTTCCTCAGGAGTCTGCATTAAATTCCTTTTTTGAAATGCTATAAGCGAACGGCGAGTCCGAGGAATGAGGAATTTCGGTTTATGAAAGGAAGGAGATGAGGTTGTGTAGCACCAAGGATTTTTCTTTAAGGCGAATTTCGTAGCCCTCTCTGCGAGCAATACATGCAACAACTCCTCTATCCCTTCAAACAATAATGTCCGATATTTTTTTCTTTTTAGAAGAGCTATCCAAGGGCCAGGTTTAATGTAATGCTCAGAATAAACAACAAAATGGAGCACTTGAAATTCTTAAAATCGTCCAAATTTTGTGCCACACTTAGTTAAGAATGTGCTTGCCTTGAAATTCTTCCCGCAGTGGAGCGTCAGATATTTTCCTGCCTTTAGCTAAGTGGAGGCAGTGGCATCCTGAACTCCTTCCAAAAATGAAGAAAGTCCCAATATGCAGGCGCGTTGCGAAAGATCTTAACATTTTGGTGAACTGTGGACTACAAGTAAGTCCTGAAGGTGGGGAGCAAGTTGCGACTGTCCCTCGAACCCAAATTTCGGCTAATATTATGCATCAAATTGTTGTCCACATTGATAAAGTTGAGGATGAACTAAAATTGGCTTTACGAATGTGCTTCAATCAAATCTTTCCACCAAAAATAAATGCTCATGTCGTGCTGTACAGACAATTTTATGGTGCTCACTGAATAGCTTCTTGGAGCTCGATCCCAAGGAAGAAGAGGATTTTTCACCCTCCACTTAAGCCCGTACATATGTGTCTGATAAGCCAGCACTTCAGCAGGCATTGGATCTTCAGTTACTTTTACAGTGCTAAACTAAAATGAACTATACAATTTGTGTTGAAGAATTTAAAAAGAAAAATTGGATTGCTTAAGGAATTGGGGTGGGAAGTGGAGGATGCAAGGCACCAATTCCTCAGTCCAATGCGTGGCAATGAAGGTGTCCCCGGGAGGAAACACGGCTTCAGAAGACGGGACGCGACTCTTCCTCTTCATCACACAACTTCAGCAAAATTTTCGTCCACGCTGCTTCTTATTGACACAATTCCGAGTTGTATCAAGTCAAAAAATTAAACGTGGTGAAGTGTTGTCTCGCAGGAGGTACGCCATTACTGGTGAAAGATGGCATCGCCACACACGTAGGGGAAAGCGGGCAAGAATTTTAAGGGATTGGGTGTGGTGCGATGTAAAAACTGTGTGATGTGATATGCCCTTATAGCAAGTCTGAGAAACGATCAACAAGTTTATTTTTGCATTTCGTTATGGCATCTGCTGCTTATGTATTTAAGTGAGGCCTAGAGCTTTCCACAAAGTCGGAAACGCAAATTTTGAGAATTCTCACTTTTGGTTTGCGCATGGAGTAGCACACCAAAAGTGGAGGGAGATGAGGTTTCGCGTGTTGGTGTACTTTTATGTCTATGCTCTACATAAGTCCCTGAATAGTGGCTGTCTCTATGACCCTTCCGCCATGAAGTCTGTCAACAGTCGTGAGAATGACATTGAGTGTAACTTCCAATTTGAGGTCGTCTCTCATAGCGACAAGTGTCGTTG